CCCTTAATTTAATTTTGATACCCTTATAAATATTTTTTCAACGATTAGCAATTTAATGATGTGAACATTCATATTTTAAAATTCACATTTGTAGGAATGTAAATTGGCCCTGGGCGGCCCGAAACCCGCGCCGCGAGCCAGGCGGGCCCGGCCCGTTGACAATGCGAATATTCACATTGACATGTTAAAATTCACATTAATAGGAGTGTAAAATTAGCCTCGTCCCGTGGCGGCGCGAAACCGCCCCGGTCCATGGGCGGCCCGGGGCGGGCCCGGTCCGGCCCGTTGACAATGTGAATATTCATATTGACATGTTAACATTCACATTGATAAGAGTATAAAATTGAGCGCGGCCCATGGGCAGCCAAAAGCCCGCCCGAGCCCGAGGCGGGCCCGGCCCGGCCCGTTGAAATGTGAATATTCGCATTGACATATTAACTTCACATTGATAGGAGTGTAAAATTAACCCGCGCCCATAGCTGCCCGAAACCCGCCCACGGCCCGTGGCGGGCCCGGCCCGACCTGTTGAAATGTGAATTCACATTGACATGTTAACATTCACATTGATAAGAGTATAAAACTAGATAGCAGCCCAGGGCGAACCCGACTCAGCTCGGCCCGCCGTTGACAATGTGAATATTCACATTGACATGTTAACATTCACATTAATAGGAAATGTAAAATTGGCCCCCGTCCCGTGGCGGCGCGAAACCCGCCCGCGGCCCATGGGCGGCCCGGGGCGGCCTGTCCGGCCGTGACAATGTGAATATTTACATTGACATGTTAACATTCACATTGATAAGAGTATAAAATTGGCCCGCGGCCCATGGATGGCCAAAGCCCGCCCGGGCCCGGGCGGCCGACCTGGCCCGTTGACAATGTGAATATTCACATTGACATGTTAACATTCACATTGATAAGAGTGTAAAATTGGCCCGTAGCCCGTGGGAGGCCCGAAGCCCGACCGCAGCCAGAGGCGGGCTTGGCCCGACCCGTGACAATGTGAATATTCACATTGACATGTTAACATGCACATTGATAGAAGTTAAAATTAGCCCGCGCCCGTTGCTGCTCGAAACCCGTCCACGGCCGTTGGGGCGCCCGGCCTGTTGACAATGTGAATATTCACATTGACATGTTAACATTCACATGATAAGAGTGTACAATTGGCCCGTGACTCGTGGACAGCCGAAGCCCGACCTCGGGCCAGGGCTGGCCCGGCCCGTTGGCAATGTGAATATTCACATTAACATGTTAACATTCACATTGAATAGGAGTGTAAAATTGGCCCGCAACCGTGGGCGGCCCGAAGCCCGATCGCAGCCGAGGCGGGCTTGGCCTGACCCGTGACAATGTGAATATTCACATTGAGATGTTAACATTAACATTGAAGGAGTGTAAAACTTGTCCGCTGCCCGAAGCTCGCCTGCGGCCCGGGGTAGGCCCGGACCCAAACCTGGGCCACCCCGGCCGCCCATGGGACGCGAGTTAATTTTACTCTCTTATCAATGTGAATGTTAACATGTCAAATTATATTCACATTGTCAATAGGCCGGGCCGGGCCCGCCGTGGGCGTGTTTCAGCAGCCACGGGGCACAGGCTAATGTTACACTCTTATCAATGTAAATGTTAACATGTAATGTGAATATTCACGTTGTCAACGGGCCGGGCTCGCGTCGGCCCGAGGCCGGGCTTCGGGCTGTCCACGGGTCACGGCTAATTTTACACTCTTATCAATGTTAATGTTAATATGTCAATGTGAATATTCACATTTCAACGAGCCGGGCCGGGCCCGCCCTGGGCAGCGGACGGGATTCGGGCCGCCCACGGGCCACGGGCCAATTTTACACTCCTATCAATGTGAATGTTAATATGTCAATGTGAATATTCACATTGTCAACGGGCCGGACCGGGCTCGCCCCGGGCCGCCCGTGGGACGTGAGTCAATTTTACACTCTTATCAAATGTGAATGTTAATATGTCAATGTAAATATTCACATTGTCAACAGGCCGGGTCGGGCCCGCCCCGGGCCACCGACAGGTCGTGGGCTAGTTTCGGACAGCCATGAGGCGCAGGCTAATTTTATACTCTTATCAATGTGAATGTTAACATGTTAATGTGAATATTTGCATTATCAACAGGACGGGCCGGGCCCGCCCAGGGCAGCCACGACCGCAGGCGGTTCGGGCGCCACAGGCCGCGGGTAATTTTACACTCCTATCAATGTGAATGTTAACATGTC